GTTGCAGCTGTCTTCACCTCTGGCAAAGCCCCAGGCTTCAACAGATTACCTGCTGAGTTCTACAGTACCTTCTGGCTTCTCCTTGACCTCTGCCTTCTGTGTTTTCCAGGAGAACTCCGCTGACAAGGTGGTACCAATCAGCTGCCACTAAGCAGTGCTCATGCTGCTGCCCAAGAAGGGAGACCTTAGCTGCACTGAGAACTGGTGGCTGGTCTCCCAGCTGTGCACTGACTACAAGATTCTGGCCAAAGTGCTGGTGACCCATTTCTGCACCACCATGGCCTCTGTCACTGGGCCTGAGCAGAGCTACTGCATGCTGGGCAGGACAATCCAAAATAACCTGTTCCTGCTGTGCAACCTACTCACAGCCAGTGAACTCTTCAGCCTGGACATCAGCCTCATCTCTCTAGATGAGGAGAAGGCGTTAGATTGGGTGAGCCATGCCTACCTCTTCTAGACTCTGGAGGCCTTTGGCTTTGGACCCCTCTTTGCTGGGGCCCTCCACATCTTGTAGGAAGACACCTTCAGCCTGCTCAAGGTGAATGACGTGCTCTGTGCCCCATTTCTCACATACAGGGGCATTTCTCAGGGTTCCCCCCTGTTAGGCATGCTCTACGTCCTGGCCATCGAGCAACTGCTGCACATGCTGTGGCGCTGCCTGAGTGGTGTGGCCCTGCCAATGGCCATGGACCCATCCACTGGCCTTCTGCTCCAGCTCTTGGTGTATGTAGACGATGTGACCATGTTCCTCAGCACCCAGGAAGATGAGTGGGCTTTGATGGACTGCCAGTTCCGAGCGTGCCTCTTCAGCCCATATCAACTGGGCCAAGAGTGATACCCTGCTGCTCAGCACATGGACCAGCACAACCCCCCAGATTGTCTGGGGGGTCTCACCTCATGCTGTGAGGTCATGAAGGTCCTGGGGGTGTTCCTGGGGCCACCAACCTTCATGGTGTGCAACTGCAATAGCCTTGACAAGGGGGTGGAGGCCCACCTGCAATGGTGGTGCTGGCGCCTACCCAACCTTTCCTACCATGGATGGGTCCTCATCACAAGCAGCCTGGTGGCAGCAACCCTGTGGCACTAGTGCACCATACTCAACTTGCTGCTGGACCTACTCGAGAGAGTCCAGCGCCTCCTGGTAGATTTTTTCTGGGATGGGCACCACTGGCTCTCACAAGCCACCCTTTACCTACCTGTTGTTGAGTGGGGCCAGAGGCTGGACAACCTGGTGAACAAGGTGGCCACCTTCCATCTGCAAGCCCTTCAGCAACTACTCTATGCTGAGGTACCTGCCATGGCAAGAAATGCTGTACCAGTTCCTGCAGAGGGTGGGGACACTTGGCTTCAACTGCGAGCTCTTCCTGCCGGACCTCATACTCCTGAACTGGGTGGTGCTTCTGGTCTTCTACCACAGCATGGTGCAAGCCTGGCAGGCCACCTTCCACCTCCAATCCAAGACCCAGTGCCTACAGTTCCTGCAGCAGCTAAGGGAGCCCCTGGTGCACAACCCAGCCCTATGGCACCCTGTACCAAGCCTAGGCTCCACCAACCTCACAGCCACCCTCATCTGGGCATGCGTCCTCTGCCTGGGCCATCTCCTTGACCCCACTTGGTTGGCTTGGCTCTTGCCCAAGGCCCTGATGGCCCGGATGGGCATGTGCTCCATCTGCAGTGTGAGCTGTCTCCTTCCTGAAATCCAAACTGCCCTCCCCACTGGAGGCAGCAGCCACCCTGGATGACCATCTCTGGGCATGCCAGGTCCCCCTCACCATGGATGCCCTGAGCGAGGCCTTCCCCAGCTGTGGTCAGTGACCTGAGCAGCAGGCCTGGCACTCTGCTCATGCTGTCTATGCCTCCTGACAGTGACATGGGTTGCCCCTTTGCTTCCCTACCCTGTAGAAGGCTGTAAGCCTAAGTGGATCACGTCCCAGGTGCTGGCAGGCCTCCCTGATACACCGTGGCAACAGCTTCTGGGACCGCCAGATTCTCCACTGACCCACCTGGCTTGGCACACACTGTATAAGCTGTGAACTATCAAGAAGACTGGCAACCTGCAGTAGCAGCTGCTGCATGGCATCCTAGCCACTAGCACATTTGTGACCTACTTTGACCGAGCCGCCTCAACAGCCTGCCCCTTCTGCCCTGGGGGCATTGAAGAGAGCTCTTTAACACCTTCCTTGACTGTACCCACCTGCGGACACTCTTTGTCACCTGTGAACTGCCACTACAGGTGCTGGGCAGGATCCTTTTGGAGAACACCTACATGTGCTCCTATAAGTATCGGGAGGCCAAGAGGGTTGCCATCTGCCTGGCCAACTTTCTGTTGGGTCAAGCAAAGATGGCTGTCCTTAAGAGCTTTTGCAACTGACTTGCCAGGACCAGCTCAGATGATGCCCTGTGGCTTTTTGGCCTCCTGGTGCAGGCACACCTCTTGCTGGAGTTTGGGCATGTTGTACTCCAGCGGGTGGTGCCCACCTTTGAGGCATGCTGGGACACTGGCCTTTCCCCCATTCCTCCCTGTCGCCCCAGTCCCACTATAGGCCATCCCAAAGTCACAGAACTCTGTCAGGCTATTGTATCCAAGAAGCCCAGAAGTGGGGTGCTAGGTGCATGGATGGAGGAGTGTGGGAGAACAATGAATCACCCTGCTCAGACTGCTCAAAGCACGGGGCCCCAGGCTGCTAATTGCTTGAGTGGTTTCTTTCTTTCAGCACTGGGCAGACCAGTCACATACCCCCACTCCCCTGTAATCCTTGCTTTACAGGAGAAGCATTTCAGTTCTGTGTCTGTGCAGGCACTGTGCTTCGTTTTCACTGGTGAAAGTCAGCTGGGCCCAAATGGATGAGCTTTGTCACTACAGGAAGTACTTGGACTTATGACACAATTGGATCCTGAAAACTACATCTTAAGTTGAAACATTGTAACTCAGAACTGATTTTCCCATAGGAAACAATGTTATAAATGGGGGATTTTTCCTGAAGCAAGGCCCAATATCCTATTGTCACCAAAAATAACCCAGAATGTTGTACTGAATCAATTATATATGAGTAATATAGCTACATGAATGTATTTATATTATAAATAGCAATCATATTGATTTGGAAGGACTTTTTTGAGGTGTCTTTGCTGGACTTTTTGAAGGGCTCTTGCCTGAGAAGACTCCAGCCAAGAACCCTTCAAAAAATCCAGTCAACTTGGCTGCAGGTTTTTCTGGAGTCTTGTCAGCTTAAAGTGTCCAAGGAAGTTTGGACAGATGTTCTCCAGAGAGATGGGTGACACATCTACTTGTTTGCTGGCATCACATTGTATCAAGTATTGTAAAGTCAAAACTGACATCAGGAAGTTGAAACAGGGTGTCAATTTATAAACACTGCAAGTGTGAAACGTTGTAAGTCAAAACTTTGTAAATCAAGAACTGTCTGTATTCCTGGTGGAATGCCAGCCAGTATGCCTTGCTCCTGCTACACCTCTGGGAGGTGTTTGGAACCTCAGGATCCATCTCTTTTGAAGACATGCAGGGGAAGCTCAGGTTGCCATTCATTGTGAGAGTCTGTCTCATGTGCTACCTGTGGCTCCAGTATGAGCTAACATGTGCAGATGAGTTTACAATCACCACAATTAATGACATAATGCTGAACCTGTGACCTAACACCTGACTCAACGGAAGGTTCTCCACACTCTGGCTGCTTAAGAAGAGTCTTGCATTGTACTGCCTTTGGCTTTCCAGCACCATTTTTCTGCTTTGAATATACCAGGAGTGGATGGGGAGTAGGGGTTACTTCACTTTCAGGAGCTGGGGTATGGAGGGCATTGTCTGGGACCAGGATGGGGACATGATTGAGGGAGTAGGGTGTGGAGGTTGCTAGGGGTTTTGGTACAATGCTTGTATGTGCTGTGAGACTCAGGCTGAAGACCAAAGTTAGCAATAGTGCTGTAAATGTCATTGCTTTACACAAAACACTGAAATTTACACAACTGTCAAAACCAGACAGAAGACCAGCTCCTTTGCATCTGGGCTTGTGTCTCCATGTGATGATGGAGGCCAGGCAACAGGGCACACTTCCACTTGCATTGTAAGCCATCCAGGACTTCAGATGTCCCCAGCTGGCCATCATGGGGCTTCAGCACACCCAGAGCCCATGGCTGTGGCCACTAGGGACCTTCTCCATTGCCATGGGTAACTGGGGACATTTATTTTCCATGAGAGAGGTAGGAGAAGGGAAGGGCTCAGATGTCAACCATAATGCTAGTACAGCACCTGGCCAGGCTGGGCACTGAAATTGGCAAGGAAGGCATTGTGGGCTGGGGCACTAGGTGGCATGGACATGGGCTGGCTTCCCAACCTGAGGTTTCTGTGGGTGCCAGACTCAGGCAGGGGGTTTGAAACCCCACTGACAGCCCCTGGATGAATGCCCACTGTCATGTAGCTGCCACAGCTTGGCACACTCTCCATGCATCATAACTGGCCTTGATGGCTGGTGAAGGGCCTTTATTAGCCACACCCAACCAGCCCAGCTTTGCCAGCCCCGCAGCACCACAGCACTCATGGTCAGTTTCAGCAGCTGGCTCCGCTGTCAAACTGACAGGGGCAGGGAGAGGGGGACTGTTGGAAGGGTTTTGAGCCTAAGTCTTGCAACCCCAGAGACCCCATCCCAGCCAGCCAGACCATGTCTGCATCACCTGGTGCTGGCACTGAAATTCCCCACTACACTGGTCCTGACAGTGGCTGAGCTGGCTGACAGAAAGTGACAGGGAGGGGCTCCAGGGGAAGTCTCTGAGCTCCCACCCTGGTCCATCACCCTTGGGACTCCAGCCCAAACTCCTCCATTCCCTGTCATGATTGCCCCTCCAGGTTACTTTACCTCTTTCACAAACCTCCCCTGCTCCTGAATGCCTCCAAAAGTTTGTTGCTTTATGTCAATGGAAAGAGGGACTAAGTTATGACACAGGTCATGTTCAACAGCTTCTATTTATTAAACACAAGAAAAGTCTGGCAACTGCAACATTGTCAACTGAGGCATATCTCTTCAATGATATCTTCTAATGATCTCACAATTTTTGTGGAGGATGTATGCAGCCATGATGAGGTGTGGCACATTTTCCTCCTTCATCTCAAGGCATAGGCTGTGAACCAACTAAACACACCTTGAGATGGCTAAAGGTACACTCCACAGGTATGCAGCACCTGTTCAGGAAATAGTTGAAGTGCTCCTTTTGGTTGTCCAGCTGCCTCATGTAGGATTTCATAAGCCAGGGCAGGTAGGGGTAAGCTGGGCCCCCAGTAATGATGGGAGAGAAGATGACAGTGCTGATAATGTAACTGGGGACTCCTGAAGACTACCACTCACTTTCCATCCTCTGTGTGGTGGAGCAGGGAGTTGCAGAAGATATGGTTATCATGGATGCTGCCCACCCAGACAACAAATATGTTGTGGCCCTGGTAGTAAATAATGTCCTGCAGGATGATGGAGAAGTAGCCCTTATGGTTTATGAGTGCTTGGGTGCCTTGGGGCGGGGGGCAGAGGATGGGGGTGTGGGTGCCACCCATGGTACCCACACAGTTGGAAAAGCCCATGCAGCAGAAGCTGGTGACCACCTCCTGCAGGTTCATGAGATGGATAAAGTGGTTGTGGCACAGACAGGTCAGGACATGGATGCATATGCAATTCATGAGGGAGAGCATTCACTCTGGGGCTCTTCTTAAAACCACAGGGCAAGGCAAGGGGGAGGATCTTGGGTGATATGGTAGGGCTTGGGTGCATGTTTGCCCATGCTAAGCAGCCAAGCAGGAGTGGCCTGTGTGTTTGGCTGTGCTCAGCATTCTATGGCAGCCCAGGGTGTCAGCAGGGAATACCAAGAGGCATGAAGAGTTTCCCCCCCTACTTGTGTGCCTCAGCCAGTGCAGGCTGCCTGCATGTCCACCTCCCCAAAAGACAAATGTATATATGTTTCACTCCCTAAAGTAGGCCACTTACAGAAAACTGGATGACTTAGATCAATTCCTCCCCCAGCTTTTTGAATGTCTGTATGTGCCCTAAGAAAGCTACATGATACATGAGATATATGATGCAGCACACATGAAATAATCATGGGAAGTAGACTCTTCCACAGAGATCCAAAGTGCAGCAATCTATAGAGTTCATTGTGGAGGAATAAGGAAACAGGACCTTTCCATGCCTGAACAAATTGTTGAAATTAAAAACAAAGAAAAAATATTTTGAACAACAACTCTAAAAGAAGGGATCTGAATCAGAATTTAAGACTGGAACCCCTAATTTCTGGTTTCTTATCTTACCTCTCAAGATTACTTCAGACATTGGAAATTAACTTAAATGCTTTGCCTCAACTTCTCCACTTGAAAAATTGGGGATAACTATTACTCTGCTGTATGGCAGAGTGTTAGCAAGGAGTACTTCATTAGTAGGATGATGTAACAGAGCTCAGAGTGTACTCTGTTACTCCCAGGGGCATGGGAAGCAGCAAGGCAGCCTGAAGTTGGTTATTCTCCCAGTCAGGCCTAATTACCTGATTGGGAACAGGGCCCAGATATTCACTGTAAGAGAAGGGCCCTGAACAGCAAAGCCAGCAGCCTCCTGCTAGCATCTGGGAGAACACCACCTGGCTGGAGCTGCTGCTTGTGACATCTTGGAAGTAAGGGCAGGAGCTATGGGGATGGCTGGAGGCTCCTGGTCCTGGGGCATGACCTAAAACTACATCCTGCTGGGACTTGTTGGTGTGGTGGGATTGCTGATGGCAGGGCAGTTTCCAGGAATGCCACACCTGGGGCCTCCCCATTGAAGGGCAAGTATGGGTTGCCAGAAATCCTCAGCCACCACTGCCTTGTGGGTGACCCTGTGGAGGGAAAAGGCTAGGGAGTGCACCCTGAAAAAGAAAGCAAGAACCCAGGCTTACTGTGAGCTCTGAGGTGGGGTCCTGGCCAGGTGAAGTGGCCAGAGACTGTGCCAAGACTCACTGAGATCTCTGAGGCTGCTGAGTGTGTGGCTCCAGGTGGGTGGGGCCCTGAGCCTGTGAGGAGCTCCTGGGGTGAAGGGATAAAGGGGTTGTAGCCCAGTGTGAGGCAGAGGATGAAGCCCAGCGTAGGACAGGGAAGGGAGCTTGGAGCCCTGAGCAATGGACTGAAGGAGAGCCCAGTGTTAGGGCATAGTGACTGTGAGCTCCAGTGGGGAATAAGAGTCCCATGTGAGACTCTGGAGCGTGGGTCACAGTGTGAGGCACTGCAA